CCGATGTTTGCTCCCAACCCATGATTACAAATCATAAAAAGTATATATTTCTCTGCAATTTCAGACATTATACTGACTCCCTTTGGGATTTGTAAATTTTTAAGCACAGAGCTTTTATATATTCATTTTATATGCTCCTGTCCCGGTCTGGCCATAGGCTGGAACGTGACCTAATGAGAATATCAGTCAGTGAGAGCCAGAGGCGGCTCTAGAGTTTGCGAGGCCTTAGGCAAAACCTAAACATGAGGCCCCACTCAGGCCTGTGGGGTCTTACCAAGGCTCTGTGGGGTTTAACCAGGCTGGTGAGATCCCGCAGAGCACTGGTGAGACCCCACAGAGCCCTGGTGAGACCCCACAGAGCCCTGAATAAATTCGGGCTCTGTAGGGTTTTACCATTGCTCTGTGCGGTTTCACCAGTCTGGTTAGACCCCTCAGTGCCCTGGTGGGACCCCACAGAGCCCTGGTCAAATCCCAAAGAGCCCACCAGGGTAGGGTCCCAACATGGTTTCACCCCACAGAGCCCTGGTGAGACCCCAAAGTGCACTTGTGAGACCCCACACAGGCCCGGTTAAACCAGGGCTCTGTAGGGTCTCACCAGCACCAGGGCTCTGTAGGGTCTCATCACTAGCCTGGTGAGACCCCAAAGAGCCCTAGTGAGACCTCAAGAAGCACTGGTAAAACCAGTGCTCCGGAGGGTCTCACCAGAACTCTGTAGGGTCCCACCAGCACCAGGGCTCCGTAAAGCTCTCTAGGGTCTCACCAGGGCTCTTTGGGGTCTCACTAGAGCATCAAGGCTCTGTGGAGCCTCACCCAGATTCTGGGGAGTCTAACCAGCCTTTTAAGACCCACAGAGCCCGGGCAGACCCCACAGAGCTCTGGTGAGACCCACAGAGCCCTGGTTAAACCTGTAGGGTCTCACCTGGGCTATGTATGGCCTCACCATCACCAGTGCTATGTGGGATCTCACAAGCCTGGTTAGTCCACACAGAGCCCCGTGAGACCCCACAGAGCCCTGGTTTAACCAGGGCACTGTGGGGTCTCACCAGGGCTCTGAGGGGGCCTCACCAGGGTAGCAAGGTTCTGTGGGGTCTCATCAGGGCTCTGAGGGGCCTCACCAGGGTAGCAAGGTTCTGTGGGGTCTCATCAGGGCTCTGAGGGGCCTCACCAGGGTAGCAAGGTTCTGTGGGGTCTCATCAGGGCTCTGAGGGGCCTCACCAGGGTAGCAAGGTTCTGTGGGGTCTCATCAGGGCTCTGAGGGGCCTCACCAGGGTAGCAAGGTTCTGTGGGGTCTCATCAGGGCTCTGAGGGGCCTCACCAGGGTAGCAAGGTTCTGTGGGGTCTCATCAGGGCTCTGAGGGGCCTCACCAGGGTAGCAAGGTTCTGTGGGGTCTCATCAGGGCTCTGAGGGGCCTCACCAGGGTAGCAAGGTTCTGTGGGGTCTCATCAGGGCTCTGAGGGGCCTCACCAGGGTAGCAAGGTTCTGTGGGGTCTCATCAGGGCTCTGAGGGGCCTCACCAGGGTAGCAAGGTTCTGTGGGGTCTCATCAGGGCTCTGAGGGGCCTCACCAGGGTAGCAAGGTTCTGTGGGGTCTCATCAGGGCTCTGAGGGGCCTCACCAGGGTAGCAAGGTTCTGTGGGGTCTCATCAGGGCTCTGAGGGGCCTCACCAGGGTAGCAAGGTTCTGTGGGGTCTCATCAGGGCTCTGAGGGGCCTCACCAGGGTAGCAAGGTTCTGTGGGGTCTCATCAGGGCTCTGTGGGGTCTCAACAGCCTGGTTAAACCACTCCAGGGCCCTGGTGAGACCACACAAAGCCCTGGTTCTGTGGGGTCTCATCAGGGCTCTGAGGGGCCTCACCAGGGTAGCAGGGTTCTGTGGGGTCTCACCAGGGCTCTGAGGGGGCCTCACCAGGGTAGCAAGGTTCTGTGGGGTCTCACCAGCCTGGTTAGATCCCTTCAGGGCCCTAGTGGGACCCCACAGACCAGGGATCTGGGGAGAGCAGTGGGGATCCAGAGAAGCGGCGGGAGGAGAGGACATGGCGATCTACCAGTGATCGCTACGCGATCGACTGGTAGAGCGCGATGGAACGGTAGATCGCGATCGACCTTGTGGGCACCCCTGCTCTATAGCTTGGAGTCATTCTGCAGTGCTGTACATTGCATTGCTGAAATTTGTAATCGTGGCATGGATTGGATTCCATGAATGCAGCACTGGATCACTTTGGGTTCTGAAGTGATCCAGCGCCACCTTAACGGAATCATCAGCCATGTTAGGCTATCCTAAAATAGAAATGGGCCTCTGGAATATAGCTACTCACTTCATGTAGTATACTATGCTAGATTTGTATTACTTCATCCTTGGGCAGCTTAAACAGGCCTGTCCAGAAGCCTGTTTCTATTTCAGGATAGCCCAGCACAGCTGATGACTCTGTGGAGGCGGGGCTGGATCACCGGATCATGTAGAGGTGGCACTGGATCACCTGATTCCGTGGAGATAGCACTGGATCACCTGATTCTGTGAAGGTGGTGCTGGATCACCTGATTCTCTGGAGGTGGCACTGGATCACCTGATTTTGTAGAGGCGGCGCTGGATCACCTGATTCCGTGGAGATAGCACTGGATCACCTGATTCTGTGGAGGTGGTGTGGGATTGCCTGATTCCGTGGAGATAGCACTGGATCATCTGATTCTGTGGAGGCGGTGCTGGATCATTTGATTATGTGAAGGTCGGCGCTGTATCACTTGATTCTCTGGAGGTGGCAATGGGTCACCTGATCCTGTGGTGGTAGCGCAGCATCACCTGATTCTGTGGAGGTGCTGCTGGATCACTTGATTCTGTGAAGGCGGCGCTGGATCACCTGATTCTGTGAAGGCGGTGCTGCATCACCGGATTCTGTGGAGGCGGTGCAGGATCACCTGATTATGTGGAGGTGGCATTGGATCACCTGATTCTGTGGAGGCGCTGCTGGATCACTTGATTCTCTGAAGGTGGCACTGGATCACCTGATTCTGTGGAGGTGGCACTGGATCACCTGATCCAGTGGCGGTAGCGCAGGATCACCTGATTCTGTGAAGGCGGCGTGGGATCACCTGATTCTGTGAAGGTGGCGCTGGCTCATCTGATTCTGTGAAGGCGGTGCTGGATCACCTGATTCTGTGAAACTTTATTGACATTTCTTTTGCGTATATTAAATAACAATCGAAATCCTCAAGTGGTTAATAATGATTTCGCTTTATGCCTTCAGTGGTAACTGCCCATTATTGGCCTGTCATTCTCTGGTTGCGGCACTATTCCTCTTATATTTTCTACTCATCTCCAAAATGACCGCCTTATAATTTTATATTAGTTGCTATGTAACATTATATCATGTCACAAACCTTGACAATTCAAACTCAGCATATAACGAAAAAAAAAATTTGGAAAGGTTATTTTAGTGCAAACTGCATTTTAAAACTTTCCTTAAAACCAGAAATATTACTATCTGAACATGTGTGCAAACCATGACATTTTCTGCTCTGCTCAGGAGAAATATAAGTATCACAGGCTAATAATAATAGTCTAAGCACCACATGCATAAATCACATCAACAAAACAATGAAAGCATGGTATAATAGAACTTTTAAGGTGCCATGGACCCAAACAATTGTATAAAATTATAAACATCTTTTTATTTGTATTTTTTACACATTAAAAACTTTTTTTTAGGACAGAAACTTATTTTTATATAAACTTTAATGGGGCACATGGATACCAGCACATAAATAATATGTAAAAAAATAATGACTGTATAACAATCAACCAACACCAAATTGTTCAGCAGAGATCTGAATGCCTAAAAGGCGCTGTCCAATGGAAGCGAGAATCCTGCTAAGAGAAGGGGAGCAAGTCCAGGTGGATTGGATCCATGTCTAGTAGCCATCTTGGCATTTTCTGTGGAGACATTATTCATCTTTTATTCCTCATATTTGAAAGAGTCATTCTTATATTTAATTACCTGGTTCCCTATGGCACATATGTGGATACCCTTTAGAGCCCTTTCTCTATCACCCACGGATTTATGGAAAAAAAAAAATCGCACCATATCAACTGAAGAAGCAGAGGGAACTTCTGTAAAATGCGTTAAAATGCGTTAAAAATAAGTGTCCTTGTCTTCTCCCGGGCAGAGGCAGCGGGGGATTCGACGAGAAGTGAAAGAGCACTTCAGCCGTGGGTGGGGGGCCCTCCCCCGCCGCCGGTTCCTTCACTTCTTCTCGGATCCCCGCTGGGGAGAGCAGCGGGGATCCAGAGAAGCGGCGGGAGGAGAGGACATGGCGATCTACCAGTGATCGCTACGCGATCGACTGGTAGATCGCGATCGACCTTGTGGGCACCCCTGCTCTAGGTGATACAACTATTTTAAGAGATATGTTTTGAGTGCATGTTTGGGAAAACCACAAATGTGCCACCATTGTTAACATTTGTGGGAATTACATATGAGAAATATTCTGTCACTGCTGTCATGTGCTAGTATCCATGTTTCGTATAAAATCATATGAAGTTGTTAATGTGTAAAAAAAAAAATGAAAAGATGTGTTTTATAAATGTATATAATTGTTATAGTTTTATTCCATGGCATTCTAAGTGCCATTCACAGCAGTAGCACAGACAATTCAATTTGCATTGGTTTAAATTGGCACAGTTCACCCCACTGTGTTACCTCATGCTGTACTTTTTTTTAGCGCAGCACAATGCAACATGGTGCAACCACATTGCACCACTCTGCCGATAATGAAATGTCACTCGTCATATTTCAATCAAGTTCTAACATAAAAAGGGAAGCAGTGAAATGCACTGCAATTGTTGCACCAGCACTGTGGCTGTCAACACACACCAGCTGCTGTGCCCTTAGCGTGGCTTGGTGTTGTGAATAGGCCCTAAAAGTACCATTATACTATACTTTTATTGTTTTGTTTATACACTTTTAACAGTCAATTTTTTTAAACTTTTATTTCCCCATATGTTCAGGTGGAATTGTCTCAGAATTATTTACAGTTGTACTTTAAGCCAGTGGAATTGGGCATCACAAACTCCCTTGTTCCAGTGAATTGTGAACATTTGGATTTGCACTTTAAAAGTAAAAAAGAAAATGTCTGTTGATAATAAATAAATACATAAATAAATAAACATAAAACAACTATCTACTTACATTTTGGTACTGTGTATCTGCCCTTGCCTGAGTTAAAGCAAGGCTGTATACATCTGGTGCATCCCATGATTGGATGATGGAAGTCAGCAGAGCTTTAGCATTCACTAAACTAAGGGAAAATGTACTCTGCAAAGGGCAAATTCCCTCGCAAAGTGAATAGCCTATTTGTCTTTAGTAAATCAACCCTTTAGTGTCTATCAATATCTCCTTTGTTCTTCACTTTCTTCTAAAAGTGTTAAAGACACTTGTATACTGCATCATCAGTATATGGCCATATCCGTCCCTGCATTATCAATTTTCCTTTACACTGTTGCAGTATTCAGTGTCTGCCAACTTGGCCCAGATTTAGAAAAAACAATGACCTAGGTAAACCCAGATTTCAGTTATGCTTCACAGGGTAACGCTGAACATTTATGTGGCCTTTTCAGAAGTCTAAGTCAAAACACAAATCACTGAAGGCTTGCAATATGTCTGTTTATGTGTCTAGCTGTCTTTAGTATGGAGTTTATATCAGAAATAGTGTGTGATTGAGATATTGCATGATTTTCTAATTTAGATAGAAAGTTATTCAAATGTATATTTAATGTTTTACTAAATATTTCAACGTTTGCATGTAAATTGCCTTATTACTTAGAAGAGCATCTAATGACGTAATTCTTATTCTTAGGGTAATGGAACAACTTTTTCTGGAGCCGATAGGCTCCCCTCTCACACTGATGTCCCAAATTCAGGTAAGAGATGTAGACATCTTATTAATGTTGATGATTCCTACATAAAAGCACCTTACCTGTGAATACGTCAGCTGGGTGAGAAAATGCAAATGTCATGTACAGTCTTTTATGGCAAGCTGTTCCTTAAAGCAGAACTCCGGGCAAAAAATCTTAACCCTTGCAGTGGGGCTACCTCCACACTGTAAAGGGTTAAGTTCTCATTTTGTGTAGGGAGCTAAAATAAAAACTTTATACTCACCTAAACCATGATCTCAGCTTGCACTTAGACTGCTCCCTTCAGCCTGGCTCCCCCTCCACTGCAGCAGTTAAAGGTCCAGTGATTCATCACGTTCTATACAGGGTATAGAGTGTGAGGATGCCGAGGGACATATCATCGCAGGAGTGGAGGAAGCGGGGCAGGAGCCAGCCGGAATCGTTGTTCAGGTGAGCATAACTTTTTTTTTTAGCTCCTTAAACAAAATGAGCACTTAATCTTTGTAGTGCGAGGGGTAGCCCCACTGCAAGGGTTAAGATTTGATTTGCCAAGTGCTCTGCTTTAATAGACCAGTGTAAGTTTGATCAGTTCCAACCTCCAATTCCTACCATTACTATAGAGAGGTTTGGAGTTTAAGGGTTGTGGTATATAACAACCATCTGAGGTTTGAAGGGTGGGGTCATTCAATCCGCATGACCGGGATTTGAGGTGCATTTAATTAATATGGGAAATTAACATATTATATATAGTACTCTAGCAACTTCTAAGTCGACCTGCGCTACAGTTCTGTACATTACAAAATGTTACATTTACAACTCAACTCAACTATACTATATTTAAAATAAAATATACTGGAATACAGAATGACAGGCAAATAAAATTCCAAACATTCTATGTTAGTGTTAATGGGCAATCCAGCATGTTCAACTTTCTTAATTTTGTTTACCGATGTGTTGAACCAAAATAGCTTTCCTTTCCGCCATCTCTGCTACTTGCATACTTATATAGTTTGAATTGTAGTTGGAATTGAATATAGTTGACGAATATGAATAGGTAACTATAAGCAATGTTTATCTTTGACTGCAGAGTCCTGCCCACATGGCTGTCTTAATGGAGCACTTTGTACTGAAACAGGTTTATGTGACTGTGACACCTTTCAGGCACAGGGAAACAGATGCCAGTATGGTATGATTATCTTTAATGTTCCGTCAGTCCTCTTTCTTTACTTAATTTTATTTTGTTTTTGTCAGTGGGACACAGTGTGGGGTACTATACACATTAAGGACCCAACAACAGAAACCTGGCAAGGATTTAACCCTTAAAAAAAGATTGGGATTTAATTCCACTTTCAAAATATTTTCTTTGTTGATATGCCAGAAATTGGTGAACTTCTATCTTCCTTTTGTAAGCTGACAAAACTGCAACTGCTGCACTGAAACCTCAAGCAGCGTTGTCGGCTGTGCCCAGTTGTCCTCTGCTGGACTAAATAACCCCTCCCACCCCCCTTCATAACATGGAGAGGGGGTGTTCTATAGTCTAGCAGGGGAAAGCTCAGCCAGGGCTAACAACATTCATTACATTTTGTTGGTATTAACTGATGAATATCATACCCTTTGTGTCTATCCTACAACATGTAGAGAATACAGAGTATTTTGTTTTTAAATGTCTATTAACATAATTCCTTTATATACATACCAACCTTGAATCTGGGGGTGTGGTGTCCTCGTTCCATGTGATGATTCCAAATATTTTGTATACAAGTATCATTCCTTGATAAAATACGCTGTATTCTAGACATGTAGGATAGACACAAAGTCTATGATATACAGTACATCAAGCAATACCAACACAATGTAATAAATATAGTTTTCAGTAAAGTTGATTCTCTGCAAACACTAATACTTACAAATATGTTTGGCTTCAAATATGAATGCTGTTTGTTTCTTTGAAACAGTTTGAATTTTTTTTTATCCTTGTCTCCAAGTACCAAACCCTGGAAAAGAAAGAGATGGGATCTGCAGAAGCTGGGGTCAATACAATTTTGAAACCTTTGATGGTATCTACTTTTACTTCCCGGGAAACTGCTCCTACATATTTGCCAGAGATTGCATTAATCCAGTGCCTCTGTATACTATATGGGTGAGTAACTGAAAATCCAAAAGTAAGTAGCAAAAAGAGGGCAGTGTGAAGTTTACCTGTTTCCTTTTTGGCATGTATAGCTATTAAACCTGCACTGGGGATGGGCGAAATTGAGAGCTTCCATTTTTCTGACATTTTAGCGAAGATCAAGATATTCCAACAAAGTTTCAGTATATTTGGCAAAACACATTAGAGTCATGGTGAATATAAAATGTTTTTGTAGTTTTTAAGGGTGCTGTGGTTTTAAAATGGATCTTGGGGATTTTGGAAGCTCCATTAAATGATCCCGGACATGATTGTGTGCTAAAAAGCCTTTAATTAACATCTTAATAGTTTTTTTACACAAAGAAAAGAACAAACTGCAAAAAATGCTGCTGTACTAAATTATTGCCATGACCATATGTTACTCAGATGTCTTATCATTTTAATTCACAGATATCAGCATTACTGAATCACATTATTATATTCAAAGTGACACTTAACCTGGGAATTAGATCTTAAAAATGCATTCAAATACCTTAGCTATTAACAAAAATGTATCTTATTTGTGTATTTCTCGGCTGTAGATCCTCAAATTATCTCTGAATTCATGCTGACACTGTCCTTCCTTCTGGAGGGTGGCTAAGTTTATTTCCCATGGTCCCTGTGTGTGATGTAAAGTAGTCACCATTCCAAGCTCACTCATGTGATAGACTACAATCTCACATTTAGTTTACTCATTTGTATTGAGATTGTACTCCATCATGGGAGCGAGCTTAGAGCGGTGGCTGCTTTACAACACACACAGGGACCATGAGGAACAAAAGTAGCCACCCTCCAGAAGGAAGACAGTGTCAGCACAAAGTCAGAGATGATTTGGTGATCCACAGCTGAGTGATACACAAATAAGATATATATTTGTTAATAGTTAAGGTACTTGAATACATTTTTAGGATTTAACTCCTGAGTTTAGTGCCACTTTAAGATAAGTACTTCTTTCTTACTATGAGTAAAGAACTACTTGTTCCCATCTCCCAGCTGGGCCACATGATCTTTGGTCTTTGGTCTTTCAATCATTTCTACAGAGAGTCATCATCGGTGACATGAAAGGAATAAAAATGCTGTTCCCATGTAGATCCGGAAATACCCTTTTAATGTTTTTTTTTTTTTAATTAGGTTCACAACAGTCCTATATGTGATGGTTCTGTTTATACTTGCACACGGTCAATCAGTATGTTTTTCTCAAGCCAAGAGGAGATCACAGTTTCTGGTTACGAAGTGAGAAAAGGAGGAGTAAGGTAAGAACGCATCTCATTAAATAAACATTATCCTTACTATGCAGGGCTACTAGTTACAATAAATGGTTCTCTCACCTGTTCTCTATTTTAAATACATTAGCACTGTGATAAACTGGCAGTCACTTTACTTGGCAGGTAACTCTTCATTGTTGCCTATAAGCCATATAAGAATTGGCATTGATGATATCTTTTATTCCTATAATTTTAAAACCTATAAATTTCATATGACATCACTGAAATAAAAATATTTTTGATATTATTGATTTCATGAACTGATGCTGTTTAACAGGAAAACAATTAACAAACGGGCCCTAATCATTCTCTCCTTAGTTCCAATATGTTTATCAAATTAAGCAATTATACTGTGTAACTTGTTTGCAGTTGCTTTGATTTGCATTGACCTTACATAACCAAACCTACAGTATCATGCCCAGTTAATATCTGATGGGCTATTTTATGTTATTGCATGCCTGGTCTTTTCAGTGACCCCCACCCCTCCATTCAGTAGCACTCGGTACTCGGTTTCGGTAACAAGAAAAAGTGCTTGTTTTAGACAGAGGGAAACTGAAAGATGTTTTTAGCTGACTTTAAATGTGATGCACTTCATTTTATAATGTTTCTACCATCTACTGCCAGGGTGATATTGCCACAAACTGTGGAAAATGTATTTATTGAGAGGCTAGCTGACTATATACTAGTGAAGACTACCTTTGGATTTTCTCTTGCCTGGGATGGAGGATCCGGAATATATATTAAATTGACAGAAGATCATAAAGGGAAACCTTGTGGCCTTTGTGGAAACTTTAATGGCAACTGGACAGATGACCTTACAGTACAACACAGTAAGTAATAAAGTCTACATTTTAGCATCTGCTTACACATATATACTGTATGTGTTTGATTATCAAGTTTTCGATAAACTAACCATTTAATTTAAACATATTTGTCATATGTTCAAGTATGAATTCTTCAAATTTCTCAATTTTACTTAATGGAGTGAGTACAGGTTTTATTACATGACCTTATTTAGAGCTTATGTTTTCTTTGTATGATTATGAACTAATTTTTTATGAACTACTAAAGCTTTTAGTGTTGATGTCTTAAATTGTCAGTTTATCCAAATCCTGATATTATGTGTGTAAGTAAAATCTTTTAAGTACAGTTATAACTTGCTTATACTGTATATCTCGGGGACACTAGTGGCAATATCTCCTTTCCTTAGTTTCCTCTTCTTTTCCTGTGCATTTTAGATTGCACTCCTTCTTACGTAGTGTGTCTGTCCCCGATGCTCCCTTTTGTAATGGCTGCCGTAAGTATGCAGGCATGGAAAATTAACCTCTGCTTGGATTAAACTTTCTACACTTTCTAATATGACTGTAAACCAAGTACCCGGAGATACCTGCATATGTGAATATACCCCCAGTAACCCTAAAAACACAGGGCACTCAGTTATATAAACCTCAACTTTAGTAGGAATGGTGTATAGCAGAAAGACTTCGATTTCTGAAATAATAGCTGTCTAAATGAATGTGCAGGCACCTCTAGATATCTGCCTTACTGTCATGCTAGCAGTTTTTCATGTAATCTGCTGCACTGAAGGCCCTCTCTGACATGATACATGCAGCAGGGCAGGCTAGAACATCAAGTGCATATAGGGCCACCTCGTCCAGTGGAACATCCTTGACACCCAGCAGTGCAATGGGATGAATGTTTAAAAGCACTTTTGTTACAGCCTTGCTGTGCGTGCCCATGTTTTCTTGACCTGGGCAGGAATGGCTTTATGAGGAAAGAAAAAATGTAAATCAGTAAATAATGTTTAGCAAAAAAAAAAAAGATAAGTAAATAATGATAGCGGGTTGGAAAATAATAATGTGGAACTACCCAGGCCATGAACTAGAGAAAGGAAATTTTTTTCCCAACAGAAACCTGCTAAGGGGAAAAAAATTGTAAATAATGAAAATCATCTGATCACACAGGCCAGAAACTTTACACTGAATATGGGAGGAGTTGCAGTGAATGTTTTTTTTTTTTAGTGATCGCCTATATTAGGCAATGCAGTGTGTGCTCTAGGAGGGACACAGGAGGGATTGTGTCACTATTTCCTACCCCACTGCAGAAATGTTAGTAGTCTTTTCCAAAGGGGCCATGGCCCATGCATCTTAGAAGGACCACCTTGTGGTGAACATGTCCCTTAGAACCTCTCCTTGTACCATAATCACCTGGAAGGAGGAGGTGAAAGAGTAATAGAAGGAGTGGAGGGAGGAGAAGGTAGGTGGGGAGGTGGAAGATCAGGTTAAGTAGTAAGTGGAGGAGGGAGGAGGAGGAGGAAGGGACCAGTGAAGAGGAGGGGGTGAAGGTGACTGCACTGTGAAAAGACACATGGTGGCACCACTAATACCAGAAGTTTGCCACATCCTGTATCCTCCCCAGCTGCAGGAAGATTAAGCCAATGTGTCTTAAACGATATGTGCATGCTTACTCGATCATATGTTTGTGGTTATATGTACCCTGCCACTGACAGCATGGTCCAGCTACACAGTCACATTATGTTCCACATACTGGTGGAGGGCAGGGATGACCTTCTGGGCAAAGAATTTTAAGCTGGGTATCAGCCACTGTGGTGTAGCACAGACCATATACTCATGGAAGGGGGTGATTCTTTGAGCTGGAATGGGAGCAGCTGCAAAGTTATGGGTGGATTTGGGGAAATGTTTTTTCTGCTCCAGCAGCTGAGGAAGAGATCCCTGTCTTGGGAAGAATCCTAAGCCTCTGATATCCTTTATGAGACTTTACTTACTGCCAATAGAGGCTGTAGATGTTGCAGAGAATGAGTAAGAGAATGATGGGGAAAGTGAGGAATGAGGAGAAAGAGGGGTGTGGACCTTTTGCTGCTGGCTTGTCACATTAAAGTGCATCTTCCATCAAGCTCAGCGGTGCAGAGTCATGTGTTTTCTCATGTATATGGCACCCAAATGTCTGCTACTTTCACCACAGCTGCAGTCATAGGCTTCAGATCACAATGCTGCTGTTGGCAGCAGATACTGTACAAAAGGCCCACATTGCAGAACTCTGTAGACTGGCCCTGGGGACAGCAGTGTGCCACCTTATCATCCACACGCTCCTCATAGCTAGAGCCTAATTCGCAGGAAGCTCCAACTGCATCTTGCAGTTCTCTGCATAATGTTCCCTGACTGATTTGTTGCTAAACTCTCCTCCCCTTTATGATCATGGAACTAGCTTCCTCAGCAGCAAAACAGCAACTACAGCTGTTGCTGACATACACAAAATGGTAGTCCTAAAAAAGGACAATTGCGTCTCTGTACTGTTGTACAATAGCTGTACAATGCCTGCATCCACTCAGATTGTTCAGGTATTTTGAGAGCCAGCGGGGCCGACTAGCAAGATATTGAAGCTTGGCCCAGTGGGAGATTCCTCCATCCACACAGTTTAGCGTAGCTGGAGGAATCTGTTGCACCTTTTACATCTGACCGTAGAAAATGTGCAGATAATCTATAGGTGTATGGCCAGCTTTAGTCTAGGGAGAAGGAACCTACAGCAGGATTACCAGATATTCAATTTGTTGCTGACTTTTGAACATGCACTGAAACATGACTATGCATTTGGTAAATCATGGTACAATCTTAATAGTATACCTGTGAGTCCTATTGAGGATCTTAACAGACATTTCTCTTAATAAGGTTTAAGAGATTTCTATGGTTAGAATCTTGTAACAATGCTACCATCAAGAGATCAGCGTTTCTGTTAATATTCTGCTCCAGTTTAAAGATAAGGGGCCATTTAGATGCATGTGTTACTTCAGCATACAACAATACATTTACAGCGATGGCATGTCATTGCTTTTGAATGACACCCCTATACACTAAATAAATGAACCTCTGACACACCAGTGTTGCAGTGCATCACAATGCACAGTAACACAATACCCATGTGTGTTGTGGGTGCGCTGCATTGGAAAATGTAGTGCAGATTTGCCTTTGGCAAATGAATGAATGGGCTACTTTAATGCAACACATGTCAAAACATGACATAACACCTGGTAATGTGCATTCCTTTTTGAAATGCAATGGACCGGATGGGTCTGAATGAACCTTGAAGAATAGTTTATTGATGCTCACAGGCTGATTAATCTCTAACTATTTACTAAATGCCATTTTAGTAAATAGGCGTTCTCAAGGGACAAGGGCTGTATTATCTTAAAAATAAAATAGCAAAATCAACTCACCTTAAAGTTTAATTGCACGTATGCAAGCAAGCCACATTACAATATTTTTAGTATTGTTTAGTGTTAGTAGTATTTTTACAATACCTATATAGTAAATGGATGTACATATTTAAAGTTAAGCTAAAATTATTTCTATAATTTACTTATGCTTATTCTGAAGTGCCATGACAAAGTACTATGTGTTTGCCTATATAAGATAATGATCTATTCCCGATTTGCCCTTCTTATATAGCTGGAGAAACCACAGAAGATATTGCTATGTTTGCAAACAGCTGGTATGTTCAGATCCCAGATGAGCATATTTGTGTAGAAACTGCCTCTGAATATCCAAATCCTTGTTCTGTGGATACTGTTCATGAGGTAGGTTTGGATGAGATTATCACATTTTTGATGCACTACATTTCTCAGTGACCCCATAGTTTTCATTTTACAGCAATCACATCACAAACAAATCTAAACACATCTAGATCTGTTGCTTTGGTTTATTGCACTCTGGTTTCCTTTGATTAGTGCATCTGTTTTGGTTGTCTGATATAAACATAAAGCCAAACTCCTACCAAATTTTTTCTAGTTTTGGATAAAAGATGGAGGGTTAGAAGTTTTATTGCTGCAAAGAGATAAGGTTCTGCTCCCATTAAGGAGTCATATTTTGGATTATGATCTTCCCTTTGCAGACAACTCTCCTACAGGGAGAAACCGTTCTCTATCCATGAAGAATATTTGTAATGTATTTTCAAAGATCCTCATCCTGATTAGGTGATGGTCATTATTTTTAGGGAATGCTATGCCTGTGGAATGTTGGCTTGGCACAAAAGAAGAGCTACATATTGCAATATTTGTATGTAGAAAAGTCTTTGATATATACCATTCAAAGCCACATTTTGAGGGTATGTGCACCCTCTTCATCAGGGATGGTATTTCTCTAAAAAAAAAAGGTGAAGTGGCCCCTGACCCCAGAGGCCTGTGGTGGACCCCCAAAGGTAGGGAGGGCTGACAATTCACTCTCATGGGTGTATCCTTAGCTGGGGTGTGGCACATGAACAGTTGGCCGTCTGTCACTTTTAGTGCCTTTTTAAATGCTTTATTGTAGAACAGCCAAACTGGGTAAGAGAGTATAGGGCTTCAGACATCCATAGACACTGGATTCCAGACTCACCAATCCCTTCCAGCTTCTACAGTGCAGGAACAGTTTAGTTGTGCAGAGGATGACACTGTGTAGGAGAGCAACAGCTGAATAGGGGATATGCATGACATCTTCCCTGGGAGGGATGCCAGACTTGTTCCTGAGGTTCATGCCATCCTGGCCTTCCTGACACCTCCAGCAGTCATAGGGCTTCCCAGATGGTTTCAGACCCCTCCTAGATCCACATCTGGCCTCCTCCAGGCTTGAGGCCTATTCAGCTTCTCCAACCTTGTACATCACACCCATGGCAAGGCCCGGGGTGGACTGACCTGAGCAGATAGCAATTCCTGAGTATTTCTGCACTTCCCCAGCATTCACCACTGGCCATGAAACTCCCAGTGATTGGCTGGTGAGACATAGACACTCCTTATGTTCCCCATTGGCTTCCCCACTCTGTTGCAAGAGTCACACCCCACCTCAGGTAGGTGCAATCAATAGCAGAACACCTAGACTACAAATCAGCCAGACTAATTACAGTTCCAGCAAACACTACATTTAAATAGCTACTACACTTTGAAATTCCTGATAAAAGGTATCCATCCCTGCTACCATGATTGCGTTGCTATCTTTAGTGCATTTCTAACCTTGGAACTTTACCCTGTTCAGGGTATTGAAACCTTTAAAAGTGTAGAGTGACACCTGCTGGCCTTAAATCTCATCACTGAGATCCCAAAGCCTCATAAAGCTGACTAAGATACTGCATACCTGATAGTGTACAGTCTTTGAAACGTGTTACTTTTAAACTTGGCTCCCAGTGAACTGTGAAGTATGTAATAGTTTTAGCTGCAGCTACAGCTCTGACCATCTTTACCATGTTTGGCTTCTATGTGACATTGTTTAAATCTTTTAAGGCATAATTTGTTTTTTTCCCTGGTATTTGCTTTGAATAAATCTGACTGGATGTCTATGCCATGGCAAATAAATAATTTCACATTTAGATGTATTACATTATAGTACATAGAGTTAATTCTATCTATAATATTATGGTAACCTCAGTGAAGTGACTATGTTATATTATTTATATACAGGCAATGTTTCATAAATGTCAAGTACTCTTACAGTTCCCTTTTCTGAGCTGTCATGAAACCATGCAATTTAAAATCTACATTTTGTTCTATAATAAAGTATGATTTTTTTTAAACTGCTAAAAAAAATCTGATGTTGTCCCCTTGCAACACTGGGAACTTTATATTAACTGTTTCTAGAAATGTCTCTATTCACAGGGTCAGTTCACTTCACACTGCATAGAAGTCTACACAAAGCCTGTAGTCAAACTGCAGTCATCTCCTGCAATAGAAGTTAGTTTTCTGGTAAGAAAATGTGTCTTACAGGGTAAAGGAATGGAGGCTCCTGCTTAAAGTGATGCTAAACTCAGGCGTTCAATCTTAAAAATACATTCAAGTACCTTAACTATCAACAAAAATGTATCTTATTTGTGTATCACTCAGCTGTAGATCCTCAAACCAGGGGCGGACTGACCACACGGGCACTCGGGCACCGCCCGAGTGATCGTGGCCGGGAGCGGCCCGTGGCCAGGGTCACTGACAGGGGGGTACAAGCAGTATGCTGTACCGGATCGGGCCCCATCAGGCAGTCGCTCAACAACCGCCCTGCCCCAGGCGCATAGTTAGGGGGGCCCGCCGGCCGGGAAGCTTCCTGTGTTTACCGCACACGTTGATCCACCCGAAGGCACCGCGGAGCTCACGCAGCATGTGTTGGGGCAGATCGCTGCCACCTGGCAGTCGGGTGGAGAAGCAGCAATGTGCGTCCGTTCCTGGTCAGAACACCGGCAGCAAACTCAGGGGGATGGATGACCCGCAGCAGAATCGTGCAGAGACTGAGTTTTTGGAAACGCAGATTGGGCGCTGGTTGACCCTGTGCTGGCCGAGGCCATGACTGTGAACCAGGTATTGCTTCTCTTCTTGCTAGTCTAAGTAGTCGGGCTGCTGGTGCTTTGTGACACCTGTTAATTATTATTATTGCCGAGTCTACTGAGTATACTGTGTGTATATAATTGTAATAGTGGGTTGTTTCACTCCTGGAGATATTCAGCTCTACATATTACCCTTTCAATAGGTTCGTCTACCCCGTCAGTAACCAAAATATGCATCAACAAACAAGGGGTTCGAACTGACTTTCAAGTGAAGGCAGTTCAAGGGTTAACTAAGGATGGGGACAAACCACAATTATAATATTTTAGAAAAAACTTTATTCGAATAAAAATAGAGATTATAGGGTACACACAGCCGACAGCTTGCTGTCAACAAATTAAAAACCAATAGCAAGTCAAACTGACTATGAATAATTAGTAATTGGTAGGATATATGGACCCTTGATTGGCTATACATGCAGCTATCCTAGTTGTGAATAACTGTTTGCGGTTTGGATCTAGACATTTAAGTGTATACGGAGTGTATTCATCTTACAATGATTAGCGGTTATAACGGCATCTCCTTGAGCTATGTATATGTCACATAAGTATCTTAATAAGCCACAGATCCTACAGATTGCCACTTTGTATATTTTATAGACCTGTCTCAAGTCGGCAGTGAGTGGGTATATGGCGGCTTTTTAGCGGGATTGGGTTCTCATTCGTAGATATTTGAATTTTTGTGAGTAATAGCTTCTTGGATAGTGTCCATATAATTAGCGGAATCTTTCTTTTAGGTATGGTATCCGATTATAAGGTGAGTTAGTTCTATCAGAGAGGGGCAATCGATACCAGCTATGACTCTTCTTAGTATGTTAATCAGTACATGGCTGGTTATGCTTAATTCTCTCTGGTGAACAGTGTTAGGAGGTTTTTCACCATATATATATATGTGCAGGGGAATATTTCTTCCAAAACGATATATAACTTTGTTTTGCTGATTTGTGTTAAACCGAACAGCCAGTCTACTCGCTTGACCTGATGGTCAGTTCCTCAATCTCCATTTCAGGATTCTCACGGGTGGTCACGTGTTCTTTGTTCAAGTCAAACGTTTTTGATCTCCCTCTGGTATCCCCAATATGATTCCTCTGGTATCCCCAATATGATATCCTGTCAACATCGGAATCATATTGGGGATACCAGAGGGAGATCAAATGGTGGTCTAATGGTGTGGTTAGCAGTGCAATATGAGGGATGTAGATGGTGTGGAAGTTACCAATGTTGGAAGAGGGTGGCAGCCATCAAATTCTCTCCCAACACTCCTACTTCTGTACCCTCTGCATCTCTCTTCCTACAGTGTTCACCTCTGCACCCCTGCCAAGCAGTGTGGGAAGGATGGGGGGGGGGAGGGTGTGGAGATGCGAGAAGCATTAGAAAAGGGATGCAAGGGGTGCAGATGGGAGCAGTGTAGGAAGAGGGATGCAGGGGGTGCAAGAATGTAAACGCGGATGTGGCTTGTGGGTGGGGCTAGTATATGGTCGAGCACAAGGGGGCCCCATCATTTTTTATTGCCCGGGGGCTCCGTGTGTTGTCAGTCTGCCCCTGCCTCAAACCATCTCTGAATTGGGGCTGACACTGTCCTTACCTCTGGAAGGAGGTTACTTCTGTTCCCCATGGTCCCTGTGTGTGTTGTAAGGTAGCCACCGCTACAACCTCGCTCCCGTGATGGACTACAATCTCACGTTTAGTTTACTAATTTCTATTGAGATTGTAGTCTATCATGGGAGTGAACTTGGAGTGGTGGCTGCTTTACAACACTCACAGGGACCATGGGGAACAAAAATAACCACCCTCCAGAAAAAAGGACAGTGTCAGAACCAAATAGAGATAATTTGAGGATCTGCTGCTGAATGATGCACAAATAAGATACATTTTTGTTAATGGTGTATTTGAATGCATTTTTAAGATTTAATTTCTGAGTTTAGGCTCGGTTCACACCTGGGCGTTCCTAATAGGCGTGTTTTATGCGCGTTTTTGCCCTTGCGTTCCGGTTCCCTGCAACGTGGACGCTCGCAAGGGACAGTACCCGGAAGACGAATGCCAGCAGCGGCCGGAGGACACAGCGGGGATCGCGGACAAGGTAAGACCTACGCTGTATTCCCGAGTGTGGCTCGTGGTTACCGCTTTGGTACAGAAAATTAATCCCGAGCCACACTCGGGAATACCCAGCCTTAGTGTCACTTTAACACAACAATGATACTGAGCAGATGGTGGTAATGAAGGCAGATCTTTCATTCTAGTGGACAGTTTAATTAAAGTGCTAGCAAGTTATACATTGGATTGTTATAATATAGGAACCTTCTATTAAAGCAAACCTTCACTTTTCCTCGCTCTGCTGCTCCTCCATTCAGAAAAATACCCAATACTTCCAGTTATGAAGCAGAATCTTGCTTACTCCATGTAACATCACTGGGCCAATTGCCAAGCACCAGCGCTGTCACTGTTACCCTAATTTGGGTAACAATCACATGGGAACAATCCATAGGCCTATATAAGCTACAACTGTGTTCATTTAGCCCACCAGGCCACACCTTTAACTAAAATATCTGCTTATAAATGTCCATATCCTTGTTAGTGTTAATGGAATTTTTGTTACCTTAGACAAGATGATGATGAAACATACTGCCGTGCTGTAATTGAGTATGCAAGAGCATGTTCCCATTCTGGCCATCCAATTCGAGACTGGAGAGATGATTTCCCAGCATGCAGTAAGTGGTGTCCTTTTGGCTATAAAAACATTTATGGTAATTATATGTAGTAATGTAATTGATGCCAAGTGTCAGGACAATTGTTTATATTAGCTAATCCTCCAGAAAGAAGCACTTGAACAAATGCCTATGATTTTTAACAAATATCCAACACTAGAAGAATCCTGAATCAGCATTTAGAAACATAGAAGAATGACAGCTGAAAAGTGAATAATAAAATCTGTCCCATTTTTTTTTTTAACCTTTTTTTTTCTGAGTATAGATGTATGTTTGTCCCAAGCATATTTATTTTCATTTAATGGTAATTGATTCCTTACGTCTGCTGGACGTCTTCTCCAGGCATCAAGTACTCTTTTGGTAAAATAATACTTTCTAAGGTTAGCTTTGAACTTTCCTCTGGCTAGTTTGAGGTCATGTCCCCGTGCTTTTGATCCTATCTTCATATTAAAATGATTGAACTTTATTCACACCCTTAATGTAATTTAAAGCTACCCCTTTCCCTTCTTTCCCCAGGACTATACATATTACCTCTCTGCAGTCTCTCCTCATCATTTTTCCCCCACAGACCCTTCACCATTTTTGTTGCCCATCTTTTTGTCCTTTTTTATTAATCAATTGCCTATTACTCATTATTTATCCATATTAATGTAGTGTTCTACATTTTAGCGGAAAAGTGTGAAGATAATTTTGTACATCGGGACTGTATTAGCTGCTGCCCACCAACTTGTACTTATGAAAAAGAATGTTTAGGAAGCAATTTGCACTGCCTGGATGGATGCTATTGTCCAGATGGTAAGTATATACTGTATGTGTTGTTGTCCTTATGATACATTCATGCACTTTCTGCAGCTTTTAACTGAGAGTAATTAATATATAAAAATGTAAATTACTAATACAGGAAAAATCAACAATAGATATAGAACTTGTATAAAAAAATGCACACATTTTATTTTTTCTTTTAGCCTTAAAGAAATTATACCATAGTTCCACTAATATATTCAGGCAAATCAAGCAAGTTTGAAATTATTTTGGCTAAAAATGGTACTACGGGGAACATGTCGATAGTACAAAAGTAGCCAAAAATGCGGTGCATCCCCAGCTTCTCTTCTCACTGCTGAGTGCCGACTGCAAACTGCGGTCTGTGTCCCCCCTGATCCCTGCTGCTCTCCCCCACCTGTGTCCACAGAGGCAGCGGGGATTGGAGGGGACACAGAGCCGATCCAGCTGCCAGTGCCCAGTGGGGAGGAGAGACCTGTCAGAGGCCAAGCATGACAGTACGAGAAGGAGAGACCTGCCATGAGGCTAAGTGGGGCAGTGCGGGGAGGAGAGACTTGTCAGGAGGCCGAGCGGGGTGGTGCAGGGATCAGTACTGATCACTCAGTGTTTGTAAATAACTGGGCACCTAGTGATTACTAGGTCCCCAGTTATGAATGAACTGGAAGTGCTATACATCACTTCTTATTCATTCATGAATGGGGGCGTAGTAAATTATTACTGCCTGCTCACTTTAGAAATGAAGAGGAAGCAGCTCAGTACAGAGGCTTCCTGCCCATTTATGACTGGGTTGATAGCAAATATTTACTATTTTCAGATTGTCAATGAACAGGAAACCTAATAAAAATAATAATTTAAACAATTTTAAAAATGTTTCAGTCTAAAAATGTAATTTCGTTGCATTCCTAATTTTTTTAACCTTTACACAGTATTTATAATTTCATTTGTTCTTATTGTAGTTTGTAAGCCTTGCTATGACAGTCAATGTCCACATATCCTTCTATTGCCTGACGAAGCTGTCTGCAGATTGGTTAGACAAGCCCTCTGAATATAGTGTTATTTAGAAAAAAGGATCTGCCACATTTTTTCTGGATATGCAGTCTTCCTAGGTTAGAGGTGCCTATAGACATAGGAGATCTGACAGCTGTACAATTATGGTCTGACCATCCTCAGGCACCACAATCTATGGGTTTTCTGCAAGCCCCCTGCTTCCCTTATTTTGGGAAGGCACTATGACAATCAGACAGGGTTTTCTAACCTTTACATCTAATAATTTCGCTACAAAAACAGGCAGCCAGAGGACATCTGTTAGTGCCACTGATATAAGGTGGTTGCTCATTTCATACAAAACTGTCATCTCATATCTATGCCAAGCTTGTACCACAGTTGGCCTGGAGAAATGAGTAGCCTTATTTCATACAATACTGGGAAACATGTCATCTTTTCTTTTTTAGTTTTAAATTCAGGGGCTAACATATAGCTAAAACATGTATGCCTTCATAGACAACTATGAGATTCAAAAGTACTCATGCAGAACAAATATCTAGCAACAACGTAATTTTGAAATCTAAATGAATCAACTACCATTTTACAGAGCTAATCTCCTAGTTTCATCAGACTACATCTATATCACGTTTATTATTCAATTTATGACCTCTGCACATTATTAATGTGCCACTCTGACAGATAAATTGGCAATAATTATATAGTTTGCAATAATGTTTCCTCCATACTTGTTCAAGGGCCCTCAGTTATTTCCCTACTACGTATCAATATATCCTTAAATTACCTACTTTACAAGTAGAGCCTCTAAAGTAATTACCTCTTCTAGGCTGCAATTTTTTAAATAGGAATCAGGAAAGCCAGATCATCTAAACCGAATTTAGAAGACAAATGCAAAATGAAGATTTTCTAATTGATGTACTATTTTTTGTTCTGCTAAACTATGTCTTTATTTTTCACTTCAACTATAACGTAGAAATTTGGCCAAAACCTGCCAAAATGTATCATTTAACTACAAGCATAATAATTGTTAGTTACTATAAAAGCTAATTTTTCATTTGTTTCCAGCACAGTATGCTTATATATTGTCTAATTCAACTAGGTCTTATCCTGGACAATGGAGCCTGTGTTTCAGTAACTAGCTGTCCTTGCATTTATCATGGTACAGCGTACCCAGTGGGTTCTAAAATCGAACAGGAATGCAGCATGTGGTAATCCACTTTTATTAGCATACTTAGCTGAATGATCACTTTGGCTATTCCTAATGATGACAGAAATTCATATTTTATTTTGCATTGCAGCGTTTGTTCTGGTGGTGTTTGGAATTGCACAGAACACGAATGTCCAGGTATTTTATTTTATAAGCAGTCTCTCTAGTTTTTTTTAAAAGTATACTGTATATGGAAATCAAATTATGTTCCATGACATATTAATGTGATCACAGATTTGAAATGCTGCAGCTCTATTAATTATTTGCTTGATCACTCATAGAAACAGTCATACGGCTTAGTTTCCTTATTTATCTCTAATGTATTTCCACATTATGTTAATACAAGGCAGATATAACAGCATCTTCAAGAATGCATATTTTCTTTGTTTGCAAAGGTACACAGATCTTGAATGTTAAAGGTCTGGACTCCACAGCAAGGCCAGTTTATATACAGCACAATATACAGTATATACTATTAAGGACCTTACAGAAAATACACAATATAATTTACAGGTGAAACTCGAATAATTAGAATATCGTGTAAAAGTAATTGCAGTAAGTGCTGCAAAAGGGGCCCAAACCAAGTACTGAGTACATATGCATGCTTGTACTTTTCAGAGGTCCGATATTGTTCTATCTACAATCCTTGTTTTATTGATTGCATGTAATAATCTACTTTTTTTGAGATTGTGGATTTGGGGTTCTTGGGGTTTTAATGAGCTGTAAGCCATAATCATCACAATGATGACAAATCAAGGCTTGAACTATCTTGCTTGGCATGTAATGAGTCTATCTCATATATTAGTTTCACCTTTTAAGTTGCATTAGTGAAATAAATGAACTTTGCACGATATTCTAATTATTCGAGTTTCACCTGTATATGTCTGGAGTGGTGAAAATGGAGGGATCTTTCTGCTGAAATGCACAGAAACACCTGCTCAAGAGAACTAATGGTGTTTAGTTAAGGTGTAGTGGTATAGTTGGGCCACTTTCTTTAAATGGCAACCTACAATGGCCAATAAAAGTAGTCCGGTGGAATTACACCTTCACTGGCTTCTAACTGAAAGCATGCAATACCTAACCAGGAGCCAATGACACCAGGAAAGCCCAACCACAGTTGTAAGAATATTGGAGAGGTTGGTGTGTCATGCTGAAGAGAAGATAGCAAGGTATTCACAACTCATGCAACACACAACAACATTAGAAGTTTAAGTTACAGACGCTCAGGAAGCATGGAAGCCATAAGGGACATGACAGTTGCCCTGTTAATTTCCCCCAAATTCTACCTATGGCCCACTAGTGCTATAAATCGTTGTCTATGTTCCAGATTAACTGGAATGCAGGTTAGGTGCCCATTGGGTCATACAAAAAAACATAATTTTTTATTATACATGTATATGTGTATACATTATTTATTTCTACATCGTTATTATTTTTCTTTTGTAGCTGAGTGCTCTGTAGTTGGAGATTCTCACTTTACAACTTTTGATGGACGTTATTTTACTTTCCTGGGCATTTGTCAATACATCCTGGTCAAAGGAATTGGAAAAGATAAATTTACCATCACTTTACAAAAGTCTTCTTGTGATCAAGTAAGTGCAACTTACCAAATAATAACAAAAAAATGTAGTTTACCACAAGCTCCAGATGTATTTTGATAATGAACACAACAATCTAGACAATCTTATTGTGTTGTGAGTTCATGTAAATTAATCTTAGCACAAATTTTTGATGCATGTATCTTTATTCTGCTGAAACCAAGATGCAATGCCACTCCAGGTCTGCTCACACAGGCATGGGTGGATGATGTGAAATATGCGAGCTGCTCCATCCATAAAAAGTCCAGCTTTAAAAAAGCATTTTGCTTGTAACAGAGTGAATGTGGTGAAAATTCACTTTGCAAAGAATATCCAATCCTGAGCAAGAAAAATAAAAACAGTAGTTTTGCTTGCACATGATTGGAGGATGGAAGTCAACAGAGGTTCACCTCATTCACAAGGCTATGGGAAAATTCCTCTGCAAAGTAAACCCCACTGAGCCTTTGACATTTTGCTAGGGTAATATTTTATCCAGGAGATGATACATTTCATCTGTGTTAACTCACTGCCATTCTTCAGATGCCTTGTACTTAGCTGCACAAGAAGAAGCTTCTCTTACAACACAGACAGGTGTGCTAATAAAGCACATCAATCCTCTGACTGGCAAGGATCTCAGCAATTTACCACCAGGTAGATGAATGGAGCTTCTCAGCAGACAAGTCGTGCGCTGGACATTGTTGCAGTTTGGCAGTCTTAGAACATACAAGTTTTAGGATAAACGCCAACTGAAGAACAACACCAAATTCAACAAGGAGTTCTTTGTGTAAATCCCCCAGACCAGAATCTGAGAAGTACTCGAATATTAGGATATTAAATGGTATTTGTTAGTGTCCATTTGCATGCAAGCCTCAATAGGTAATCTAGAATCTTTCTAAGTGTACCTGAGAGTACTTGCATGCTTGTGTGTGCCCCTGTGGAATGCCCAGATGATTTAAGACCAATGTTAAATTCTTATGAGCAGTGCTTTACTTTCCATTCCATAAATGTTTTTTTTATATTCACCTGCAATGTGCCTTTCAACATGCTATCAAGTTTGATTACTTCAGGAAGAATCAATTCCTTAGCAAAGCCCCCTCCATCCTGCCACATCATAACCCTCTTCTCTTCTGTGAGTGCCTAATTACACTCTGTGCTGGCCTAGCTCTTTCTGCCCCTCTCTACATACCCTTTTTTTAAACAATTGGCAAGTTGTAAAAAGGACTACTATAGACAGGTCCAGATTTAATCTCTGCTGCCCCAAGGCCAGGTTCCTCAATGCGCCCCCCTACCTGCCAACCCCTCCACCATGGAAAATGGGAGACCTGCAGGCTGCATACAATGTCGCCGAGATCACTTGTACAAAACAAGCGGTGGCTTCCCTGTTGTACATTTAGCTCGGCTTGCCCAAAGCAGGGCTAAATGTAGAAAACAACTACCCACCCGGGCATCGGGAGATATCCGTTCCACACCCTTGCTACCCCTCTACTCCCTGCTGCCCCAAGGCCGGGCCTTGGCTGGCCTTGTGGGAAATCTGGCCCTGACTATATAGTGTCATTGGAATCACAGCTCAGAGTCTTCTGGGGCTGCTGATAATAAAAATAATAATCCAAGATGGTGGCACCCAGCAGCAATCTCAGGGCTTTAGGATGTCTACACAAGAGAGGCTTTTACAGGTAAATAACATGCATGAAATGCTTTAAATGCGCATATTATGGAAAGATTTTTGTTGAAATTAATGGTCTGGCGACAGGGTCTGTTTAAATAAACAAATATTACAGCTTTTTATTTTGTACTCATTTCTGTAATACAGTAAAAAGCAGGGCCAGTGTATTGTTGCTGTACTGGGTCCAAAACTGCATGAGTATAGATAGAAATGATGAACAATGCAATAGAAGTTGGTGAGTGAGCAATGTGCCATGTTTCTGTAAATTTGACAAGCTAGTTCAAATGTATTCAAGTGTACTTGTCAAAATATTTTACATAATTATATAGACAAAGAAGCCATTAGAGACACTTTTTTACTCAGGCATGTTTGTGTCGCTAGTTACCTGACATTTACACAGCAATGCAATATGATTTGATACTTCTTCTAGTTTGTTTGCCACACAGTCTTTATATACTTGAAGTATAGTTATCCTCTCTCTAGCCAGGAACCCATTAATATGTAAATATATTTCCTGTTTGCTTGACAAAAACTGGAAATTATTATTTTATCAGTGCCATAGTATATGATCCACGATCTGATTGCTATGTAAATGATGAACAAGCCTTGCTGAAAGACATTACAACAAAATGTCATGCTCATTAGAAACAGCTAAAATCGCACAATTAGCATAACACCGATAAAGTGACAATTAGGAATACTTAACAAAACAAATTCCTTCAATGAATAGTGAACAGAACAAGCATATGTAGATTAAAGACGTGATGTTGATCTTAACATTTACAAAGGATGTATTGCTAGTGTATAATGACCCCAAATAAAATCCTATTTGTAAAGTTTATAGCCAAAAGGAAAAGTCCTAGATTATGCACACATACACATTCTAATTTCAGGCACGCATGCAAGCACAGGAAGTCTGGTCCAATGTCATGTTTGTAGGTTATCTCTTAGTATCCCTGCTTGGCTCCTAGGTTTGGTCATTTTATTTAGGAGTTCCAAGTAATGGACATGCAATGTTAAAGTCACAGCAATCACTGCTGCTATGGTATGAGCAGTGTAAGCAGCAGACATGCTTCTCCTTATTTACTAAAAAATACTTTCAAGAGTGGAGGCTGGCCTTTCATGAAGAGAGATGTGCCTTAACTGAGCGCCACTCAGCACCAAATGACAGACATATTCTTAATGCCGAGACTGAACAGATCCTGGATTATTTGTGCCTGATAGCACCCAGACCCCTTTCCACTACAGAAAGGCAATAGGTATTCTGTAATGCTTTCCCAGGCAAGATCAAGGTGGCGACTCCAGGTCACACAGCTGTTGCATGCACTACCCCTTAGCAACAGACTAATGCACCATTGCTTTCTAAATGTGAATATATTAACATAATTCTAGATGCTATTGCAACCTACCAGACAAACCTTAAAAAATAGAAGAGGTTAAACTTGATGTGGCACAAAGCATATGTCAAGGAAAAATAATGAAAAAATATTTAGTACATCTTTGGAATACATCCACATTTCCCAATGTTTTATCCCTTTAAACATGCTGCAAGTAGAGAAAAATAACTGTTAATGTGCTGGACATATAGTGTACTCCCAGCTTTCTCTCTGATATGACAACTCAGCTCTGAATTTCTAGGCAGTCAGTGCTGCCTGCCACATTTGTGATGGATTACAAATTAAGTCCTCTCCTCACACTGCCAAAGAGCATAGGAAGTTATCAGCCCACATTATTTTTGGCAAAATTAATAGTGTATATTTTACCAAAGGGATATAACAACTCTATAACTAATAAGGTACTTTACTGCACGTAAATGGATGTTAGGCCAGGTGGACACCTGGGCGATCCCGGGGTGTGCGTCCCGGGACCGCGTGTTTGTGTGTGATCGCGCACACACAGCAGGTTCTGCAAAGCCCCTGCAAAGCCCCATTGACTTCAATCGGGATATACCCGTGTGCCAATCACTGAAAAAAGGTACATGTGCATTTTTTTCAGCCGTGATTTTGCGTAGTTGCATGGGCCGAATCATAGCACCTCGCCTGCCGCGACTGGGGTGCCATTAGAAAAGAATAGCCTCGCCACCGCGATCAGCAGTGCCGCGCAGTCATGGATCGCCTAAGTGTGAACCGGGCCTTAAACACAGCCACAGGTCTACTTCACCAAGTGTAATAATAACTGCTGTAGAAAATGGTGTTATGCGCTATACCCACATGTTCTCAAGAGGGCAACAATGTTATACAAGTGGTTAATTTTTATCTGTTTTTTTGTAAGACATAAGGTAAAAATGGTGTAAAACATTTTACTGTTTGTTTATTTTAGCACTCTGATCACGCATGTATTCAGTCAATTACCCTTGTACTTGATGAGGATATGAATAAACAAGTTACCATCCTGAGAAATGGAGATGTTCAGTTTGGCCCTAACCAAGCTATTATCCTAAATGGTAAGTTCTGTTCTGCTCTTGATTCGTGTGTAAGGACATAATATGTGGCCAAAACATATATGTACTTTCATATGTAGCGCCCCCGACCCACAAAGGCATGTGGTGAACCCTAGAGGCAGGGAGGGCTGGTATTCCACTCTCAGTGATGGATCCTTAGCTGGTTTGTAGGATGCAAACAATGAATTGGGCGCCCGTCATTTGAAGTACTTTTTTAATGCTTACTGTGGAACAGCCAAAACTGGGAAAGAAGGTATAGGGCTACAGACATCCCTGGCAAAAATAGACTCCAGACTCTCCAATCCCTTCCAGTTCCACAGTGCAGGAATATTTTAGTTGAGCAAAGGATGACACTATGTACCAGAACCACAGCTGAATAGAGGATGTACTCGAGATCTTCCCAGGGAGGGACACCAGCCTTGTTCCTGAGGTCTATGCCATCCATAATTGCTGAGGGTGAAGGGGCTACACATAACAACCATGGTAGCAGAAAGCAGATACAGCCAGATGGTCAGTGTACAACCCCTTCTATTATCTGCATGCAGTTTAGGCTTATATGTTATATTCCTGATAATAAGGATATGATCATAACTGTGTTATAAAACCAGCTATGCTCGCAGATAAACACTTTTAGACTTATTGGCACCTTTTTGTCAAAGAACTGGGTGCCTCTGGACACAACAACAAAAAGCTTGACTGGTAATAGCATGGAGTATTGTAGTCGGAGAGCGCAGAAAAAATGCTTAACCTTATGGATTTTCCACTTTAGACATCAGTGGAAAAGTTCAGAAAAATGGAGACCCTTGATCCATTGCTATGTAATTCACCCAATTCCCTTACCTTTTGTAGGATGGTTCTCTGTCTTTATAGTTCAAGAGATTAATAAGCGGTGCCTTGGGAGGATTAACCAGGGACCCTATGGGTGTATTCCACAGCAAATAGGGGCGATAGAGAGTCTCTACCAAAAGTTGATAGTAACCAAGATTAAATGAAATGCACAGTATCTTTATCTTTGACCCATTCTGGGATGCTACAAAGCAGACATTATTTCTCCTAAGTCAATTTCCTAAATCATCAAGCTTGCTGGAGTGTGCGGCTGAGACTCGGTTATTACAAGTTATATCTTGCATGGATGCCACAGCACCGTCTTGTTCTCCCACTCCCTCAAGTGTGGAGGTCCTTTTACTGATTTTTTTGAAAATTGTGCTGCAGCAGAATAATATCCTCCTTAGTTTCATGTAACTGTGTCTTCATGTGGATGAGAGATAAATTCCCCTCATTCACAGTTTCCAGGACATCAGTTAGAGTGGGTTCCAGGACCCCATCAGGTGTCATTCATGTGGGAGAATCCTCTCTTGCAATCCCACTATAATGGCCTCCAGGATTGCATGCTTGTGCCCCCCTTCTCACTGGCCAAAGAGAAGACAAAAGCAGACTGTGAACTTACCATGGAAATCAACCAGCAGAAGGCAAATTGGCCGATTTCAAGTAATGGTGGGTGAAACGCTCAGGCCTCGCAGCCATCTCCCTCTGCTTGTCTCTTTGTGGCATGGACTGGAGGAGGTCAATGCCATCTTGGGCCTTGCGTTCCTGAGTTCTCACTGTTTTTCCTTGTCATGGCTGTATGAGTAAAGAAGGGACTGAGGAGTGCTGGGGGGATATATAGCTGTAAGAAAAATTGGCTGCCGTAGAGCTCCCCAGGGACAGGTTTACAGGATCAGCCTCTTGGTGATGCTGGGGACTGCAACTGAGGCCCCCCATATATCATAAGCTGACTGTCACTGATTTGGATTTTTAGCTTTTTAGGATTGTATTCTGATTCTCACAAACAATAGCTTGATGTTATGGGTTAGCTACATTTTGTGCAAATGTACAGATGTAGATGGGGGAAAATGGTCCTCAAACCTTGGTCATTTGTGTTACAAATAATGTGGCGGTCCAATGCAGCACTGAATATGGCTTTCTAATTTTAGAGCAGCTATTCTTCTACATGCACTGACTGTGCACATTATATCTTCATATTTGGTGAGCAGCATTGGCATGTTATAATGCATATATTTAACACTTCTGGCATATATAACTTTTGGTGGTTTTACTTGATGGCAATAAAATAAAAGTGTTGTTTTGGATTGAAATATGTATGATCAAATGCAATTTTGCATCCAGTAAAATACATCGTGTATAAAAAATATTGTCTGACATACAATTCTGACAAAATGGTGTATCAATGCTGCATGCCATATTTATTTTCACATACTACAGCACAAAGTGTAGACAAGCTTTACCTGCTTACATGTACTTCATTATTCAGCTAAGTACAGTTGTTCTGGCCTAGTGCTTTGGGGGCATTCAGGGGGGTATAAAGAACAAGCACTCTTTTTTTTAGGCTATATGATGTTTTGAGCCCCTACATGTGTAATAATGGTGAAAAAAAACATTTTTTTCCTCTGCAGGTGATATTGAGGTTCGTAATTTGTCGTCAATGTTTGTCCAGCTAAAAACCAAGTTTGGAATAAGAATTCAGTTTGCAAAAGGAGGAGAGCGGCTTTATATTCAAGCCAGCAGTACTTGGAAGAGGAGAACATTGGGTTTATGTGGAACATTTAATGGAAATCTAAGAGATGATTTTCTGTAAGACATTTGTCTTTTTATCATATTTTTTTCATAGTATTATCTTAAAGCAGTTTTCCACTTTTTAAGCGTACCCCTAATTCTAATCACAGGATATAGCAGATAAAAAAACATATGAAGGATGCCTGTGTGTGGAGGAATAAATTCCAACCTAGGTGACATAACAGTTGTTTCTTTTCATAAACATTACATGATCCTGCTTAGAATGCCATACCAGATCTATAAATAGTATGTCATAGTGACAAGGGGTAAATCGTAAAATGAGGAAATGGAGGCTGTATATTACCTTGTGCTATCATCCTATCCTTTTTATACTACAATTATTAAAAATGGAAAACCCAGAAAGTGAGAGCCCTCCCCTCTCCTCTCCCCTCCTGGGCTATTGCGGGTGTTGTGGCTTTCAGCTGTCCATAGCAGCCAAGAGCCACAATCATGAACACTGGACAAACACAGTTATCTTGTGTCTGTTGTAATGGGCCATCCACAGCCATTATGATTGAAAGTGTCAAGAATGCATTTTTGAGGTACAACTTATGGGTCATGGTGTCACAAGATTCAATGACAGTTAGTTGCTGAGGGTGTGCAGTGCAGACTTATTACATTGCGTTCATCGTAACTGCAGCAGACCTTTTCAGGGTTTTCCTTTAGAATGGGAATATAGCATTAAGATAGGCATAAGTGCACAAACACACGACTGTACTCACCACCAATGCACCAACATGCACAACCACACTAGCTGCAACTGCATTGATGCACACTACACCACTGAACACACTGACATGCCTAATGCATGGCCCACACTACTGAACCACACTACCCTACTGAAAAAAGGCTTTTGAACCAGTACATGTGTGATATTTTTTTTTTCCAGTTCTCCAGCAGGTATGATTGAAGGCACCCCACAACTTCATGCAAATGCATGGAAAATCTCATCAGCCTGTTTAACTCCAGTGAACATTCCTGTCGTGGACCCATGTGACACTAATCTTCAAAATGGTAAGCCTTTCCCAATTCTGTATTGACATACAGCATGTAACACCAAATACAAAGCATAGTACTGAAGGTATACAGTATATACAGGATAACATGCAAATATTTGTTACATGAAAATGGAGCATACATGCTAAAAGCATTTAGAGGAAATATTACGACACTTGAAAAAAATCACAGAGGCCCGCAAAAGCATACAAAAAAACAAGCTGTTTCTAATGATCAAAATGTGCATGCTCTTTCCAAAAGTAACAACATTTGACCTGCCATTTCATTTTGCAATATTGTGTATGATGTCTTCCAAAAAAGGCCTTGGGTGACTTAAGCCTAAAAAAATAAAAAAATATTAATCTTATTTTTAAGAATGGCAAACGTTTATGAGAAAGCAAACAGATGTAACCTTCACGGAGCTTGCAGCCTTACAGAGTTGTATATTGGCCAGCAGACTATATTAATGAATGTTGTACATATACAGCTATACAATGGTGGGGATTTATTGAAAACTGAAGCAGACAGTTGTGCTTATCCAGGTGAAAGCCTTTTAAATAGAGATTTTATGTTCAATATCACTGTGGTCCTGGTAGGAACTTGATCCATGACCCTAGCATTGCAAGGCATGAATCCTAGCCACTGTGCTCTGATCATTTTAGTCTTATGCTCTTCAAGTATTAATAGGTCTGTTTATCAGATCTGCAGAGTTCCTGTTTGTCAAATGGTAAATAAATGCTTATAAATAATACATATACATTGGGCCCTCTTTGGACTCTTTTAAACAATAGTTTTCTTCCAGTTGGATATGAAGGTCAGTGTGATGTTATCAATCAAGAACTTTTTGCACCATGCCATACCTATGTCAGTCCGACATTGTATTATCAGCTCTGCCGGTTTGATGCATGTAAATGTGGAAGTAATTGTCTGTGTAACGCCCTGGCCCACTATGCATATATCTGCAATAAGCATGGTGTCACTATCAACTTCAGATCTCACGTTTCATTCTGTGGTGAGTAAAGAATTCTTCTTTTTAAAGCAATGGACTCTTCTCTGTGATGAATAGCAATACCCCTTATTCCTGTAACTGGTATCTGTACAATTTTGAATGAATAACCTGAACATTATTATTTGTCTTAAATATTTAAAGCTCTGAAGTGTCACTAAATCCTTGTATAAAATACAAAGCTCACAAACGCTTGTCCTGATCTTCTGGTCTGAGGTTTTAGCAGAGCATGTATAACCATGTGCATTGTTTGCCTCAGACTACATGCTCCAGGATAACTTGTTCTGGCATTAATCAATGTGCTTGCACCCCAGCTGGCCTACTAGTTGGTGGATGCTGTATATGCCAGTGTTGGCTGCGTTGGCACGTAATATTTTAGTCCACAATGGGAATAAAGAGGGGGGCTATGTTTGACCCACAGGAGGACCATGTCCACTGGCATAGCCACCCTAAAAAGGAAGTGCAACAGTCTGATTTTTTAAAATGATTATTTATTGATACAGAAGCAACCATAGCTAAAGAAACAGATTTACATGTGCACTGGAGAAGTTAAAGAAAACAACATCTATTTTTTTAATATAGGTTTAGTGACACTTTAAAAAATGAATAAAAAAATGTTAAATTCCTAATTTTGTAAAAATGCTAACTAGTTCTGTCTAGGGTTATCCTCTTCCTTGCATATGGCGCCCACACCTGATGAAGCCTCAAGGAAGTATAAGGAAATATAACACATATGCACGATTTCATCACATTTTATATTACTATGCTGCCAGTCACGTTGCCTAAATAAATTTGGCATGGCATATCAGTAATCTTTGGTGGATCAATTTGGTTAACCATGTGAGTGGAAGTGAGGAAAACAATTTTAATGAAAAGATATCCCATTACCCTTAATGGTGTTACAGTACATATGGGTTACATATTATTTTTTAATTGGTCTATTTAAATAAGTTTTTCTACAAATTGTTAATTTAAATATGTAGAATGTAATGTGATTATCCTATTTGTATGATCAACTGTCCAACATGTAAAGATCCATCTTTGTTAAATTTCTCTACTTCCATTCCTTCTCTGCTCACACTTCTGTTATATGTTAGAATTTGGTGCGGGCTCTATTAAGGTACATCTAAAGGCTTCTTTATTAAAGTCCCAATTACAGCTACTATGTGATACACAAACCTTATAAAGTGGTCCAGAAAAGTTCCTTTACCTTCTTTGAATTAGCCAAATCCTCCTGTATTTGAGTTTCACACTCTTCCCCTTCCAAACACTGCAGCTCAGATTGGGAGGGCTTCAGCAACAGAGGCAATGCTGTTAGTCTAGAAAACAAGGGGAAGGCCTAGATGTGGCCAGGTGTGAACTGAGAAGCTACAGGCTTGTGAATCAGCAGTGAAAATGCAAATAGTCACACCCCATATAACATCTTCTAATGCGACTGTAATGAAAGCAGGCACAGCATACATTAAAATGTCAACTCTGCTCTGACTTTAGGTGCAGTTTACCGTTGTTGCAACCCAATAATTGAAAGCTGCATTAGGTGGAATTCACCCAAAGGATCAGCAAGTATTTGTGGGACTTTGCAGGGAGACTAAGACATAACTATGGGGTCTATTCACAAAAGGGTGAAGAGTTTGGAGAAGGCAGGAGAAGTGAACAATCTAGGCCAACAAAGCTGAACTGGAAAGTGAGCTGAATTGGAGAATTTTTTCCAAATTGGCTATTTTGGCCTAGACTGTTCACTTCTCCTGCCTTCTCCAAACTCTTCACCCTTTTGTGAATAGACCTGTATATGTGCAAACGCATTTTTTGAATGGGATGCTAAAGGTCTACTTTGATTTCAATAAACAATACTGTGACACCAGCAGATGGTCTTGCAGCAAGGTGTGAAGGTCAATGTAGAACTTCACAGTTCTGGATCTGGATCTGGAGCAGAGAATGTAGGTTTATTATACAGATACACCACCCCATTATCCTTTGTTTTAATTGGGATAGCTTTGGATGGAAGTTCCAATCTCTAAAATATGTTGCAGTTGTCACTGATTTCAGACACATATTATTCAATACATTTCCAGCCAATATATCGGTGTCACTAAAATCAACCTACTGACAATACAGCAAGTGAACATTTTATCTTATTGATCAATGAAGTGAAATATATCAATATAGTAAATTATGTTCCGTAGGAGTCATCTGCCGCTTTGGAATGTTGTTCCATCAGTGTTCATCATACTGTGGCCGCACTTGCTCCTCTCTTTCCCTTGGAGAAGTCTGCACTGATGAATGTATAGAAGGATGCAACTGCCCTGATGGAAAGTACTTTGATGAGTCTCTTAGTTTTTGTGTTCCTATGTAAGTATATGTGTTAAATGAAAGGAGCAATTTAAAAGTGCTCACTGTGTATGTATCTAAATGGAGTGTGTATGTTCTCCCCTTATATGAGTGGGTTTCCTCTGGATACCCCAGTTTCTTGCCACAGTCCATACATAAACTGACAGGTAAATTAGCCAAATTGCCCTATTGTGTTTATGTGGGAATGTGAGTGCTATTAGTAAGCTCCTTCACATGAATGATCATACAACTCCATGGAGAGAGTGTCATTAAGGGGAACAAAACCAGGACAACAATGCTGCAAGCCCACAGTGCTACAGTCTGGCCATTTAGGTACAGTTCAGATTTCCTGATCCAAACTAGGGTTAGGCTTGGCTCTGAGCTGTAACAGATTTAGTTAGTTCTGGCTGATCCTAATATTCTGCATCTGTAATAAATTTGCAGATTGTGCGAGGATAAGGATCACATACATACACCCCCTTGGCTAGCCACAAAAGACAATGGTGAAGCATGCAACTCAACCTTTTATGCCCTCCCCCCCATTATCTAGTTTAAAAGCTCCTCCAGTCTTTCTACCATTTTCCCCCCAGGAATGCTGGGGGGACTGTGACTTGTTAGGTCCAAATTGACAAAATTGATGTGACAACTGAAAAATTATATGTGCATATTTAGAAAAATGACAATGCAAATTAAATTTTTAGACCTGCATGACATAAATCTGACTGCTCTCTGAAATACGTACATGCAGTATGTACAATATATTGATGTTATATGTATAAGCATATCGGTAAACGAAAGTATCGTTTGTATCAGTCAGTCATTCTCCACATATGCACTTTGCTGCTCTTAGAAAATCAAACTCGAACCAAAGTTATAAAAAATACTATCAGTTTGTGAACATTTCTTTCTACTGCAGATCAAGCTGTCGTTGCTATTACAAGGGCAGAATTTACCATCCAGGAGAAGTGATTTTACGACAGTCTGGGTCTTGGTAAGATAATTCCCCCTCCCTTTTAGATTGTAAGCCCTCAGGGGCAGAGCCCTCCTTTCCATCTTATCTTGAATTGTATTGTGATTGTAATGTCTGCCCTATATTGTAAAGTGCTGCGCAAACTGTTGGCGTTATATAAATCCTGTATAATAATAATAATAAGCGCTAAATAGTTACAGTTCAAATGTATACATGACAATAAGTGTATACTTTACAAGGAGATGAATCTTGCTTTGTAGCTTATACAATTAGGATCAATCATTCTTTAATTTGACTTCAGGAAACTAAAATCTGGTAACAAAAGGGGTTTGAACATTATTTCTGCTATTTACCATGTAGTACTTAGTATTGATGCTTCTTCACTCTAATTACAGAAATAAGGTTATTTATCTTTTTCTGCTAGCCAGTGTTTGAATGGAACAATGAGGTGTACTGAAACCGCTACAACTATGACAGGTATGTTAAAACCGATGACTCATTAGGCACATATCTGCAATTTGAACATCAGAGAACATATTATTCTTATATAGCTGTTACATACAGCCAGTTTCAATTATTTAAAACATTTTAAACTTTAAATTATTTATGGCAACTCGTCACCCCCTTTTAAAAAAATGGTTTTGATTTTTTCTTTCCTTCTTCGGTTGGTGGTAGTTTTACTTCATTTATTTCTTTCCAATGGTATAGGGACTGGACTTGTCCAGGTCAGTTACCAGAAGAAGTACTCTAAAATAGGCTTCCACAGCACAGAGTTACACAGGGAGGTTGCGGGGTTAGTGATGATTCCCTATATGTTCCCTACACTTAATGAGGTGGCATCAATATACCAAGCGTACATGGGGAACAATCGCTATACTTTAAGCTTCTCCTTAGCAGCTGCCTGCACTACCTTGCTCTGGAGGATTGTTTCACAGTACTCCTACTTTTTGTATGCTTTGCAATAATACCTAATATTACTGTTGGGCAGCAACCACCGGCCAGTGTTCTAAGTCAGCAAACCAATGTGTTGCTTCAACTTCTCCAACTCTATAGACCAGCCGCTGCCAAAGCAAAGCACTGGTTCACTTTAAATATGAATAATAATTTTCTCAACAGTCGGCAGGTCTTTTAAAGGAGACATGCCTTTTTATTCTGATTTAGCCTAATTGTACTTGAGAATTTAGTTAGGTGTGCCTGTCTGTCAAGGTGTGTACATTACAGTGTAATGTAAGGGTTACAACAAAGGGTACAATATTCTATCATTCTTATCATAACAATAATAAAGGTAGAAGTTCATGTGCCTACTTAATATATAATCATTTTATGTTAAAGGCCACACATGCCCAGAAGGAAAAATATACTTTGACTGCAGGAATCCTGTTCTTGGCTTACCATCTGCTGGTGTGAACTGTGAAGTCACCTGTGCCAACCTGGCTATGAATTTCTCGTGTGTCCCATCCCCACCTTGTGCCAGTGGGTGCATTTGCCCACCAGGGTAAGTAAGTAGATATGGGGCGTTGCACTGATGGTTGTTTATGTGTATTTTCATGTGTATGTGTACATTGTTTTGATAATATTATGTTTTGCAGTATGGCGGAGCATAAAGGGAAATGTTATGTTCCTGATAGCTGCCCATGCTCATGGAAGGATTGGGAATATTTATCTGGAGAAGTCATTACTACACCGTGCTACACATGGTAAGTTATTTAAATCATCTACAGATGAACTGTAAAGGGATATGTATATCTATTGTGAGTTATATACGTGTAGATTTCTCCAATTTGGATAGAATCAACAAAACTGTGAGTTCATGAATTGTGTAATTCTCTGCTGATTAAACAGATCGGCATGCAAATATGTAGGCATGTAGGGCAACATAATAGGTTTTGCTTTAAAGCCCAGTCTCCCAGGAAGCTGACCAGAGTGGCATGGGAGCATAAGGAACTCAAACTTACACACATAAATAATTAGACATTATTTATAATATAAATAATGTACAAATATATGCTGCATATCAATAAATAAAGGATCAATATAGAATGATAAGTAAACCAAAGCAACTAATTAGTTACTTTCCATCATTTTAGAGCATTTAGAAGACGCAAAGGTGACCGATCATTAGTTGTAGTTTAAAGTACTTTGCATATTACATATTTCTAAGCTTTCAACACAAAACTGTGCCCTGAAAAGAGAAAGCTAGAAAAAGTGAGAGAGACATGTAAATTAAATGACAACTAGTTCAGATAACTCCCTACTGTACAAGCTATGCATTGTAAGTGCTTTAAAAAAAAAAAACTTGATCTACCAGAAATGCACCCAGGTGAATACAGGTGGAAGGAAGGGATGATAACGCACAGCAATTTTTGTGTTGTAAGCCCTTCGCATTGTCTGTTGCTAAACTACTATGCCACTCCCATTGTCTTCTCATCAACTGCATAGGGAGTAATTGACTTGTAGTTGAAGATAAGAACATGGAGGGCTAAATAGTGTCTTTGAGCTAACACTGGCAGAGAGCACAGTACATAGGACACCTCTGAATTTCTGACAGGATCAACTGTTTGTTTTTGTTTGCTTTCAAAGGCATATTTAACAGCCCAAATGGTAAAATTTTAGACAACTTCCAGGTGTACTTTTGAAATCTGCCACAACACCCTAACTACACTTCCAGCACCATCAGAACAGCCACTGCCAAACTATACATAGAGGCCTTCTCTTTTCCTGCCACCTTAAGAACAAAGGCTGACCAAGTGATTTCTCCCATCACTAACAATGAACTTCAGATTGCAATTGCAGGGATGCAATCTAATAAGGCCCCATGCCCAGATGGGCTTTTATACTATAAGCCTTTCCTTCCAGCTCCTACTCCCACTCCCTGGCCTCCTTCAATGCCCTCATGGAGGGCCACACCTTTCCTGTTTACAACTTACATGCTCGTATCACAGTCAGTACAAGAAATGTAATAGATGTATTAAACTGCATCAGTTACAGATCTATTTCTCTACCTAATTGCGCCATTAAAATTGTTGCTAAACACTTGCCATCAGACTCAAACGCCTCCTTCTGGGATATATTTATTTAGGTCAAACAGTGTTTATACCTATGACAGAGGCCAGGGATAGTATGATTAAAACCCTGCACCTGATCTCCCACGTTCGCTCAGAGGCCATCCCAATGCTTTTCCTTTCAACGGTAATGGAGAAGGCCTTCAGCTGAGTGAACGGTAAGTTCCTAGACATCGCTCTTCAGTACATTGGCCTTTCTCCGTACATGCTAATGTGGATAAGAGCTCTTTACTCCTCACCAAAGTCAGAAGACCCCTTTGCACATTTTTGCCATTACTAGTGGTACCTGTCAGAGATGCCCTCTCTCACCACTAATTTCTTTTCTTACCCTTGAGCCTTTTGTGAGGACAATCACATCCAATACAGATATCCAAGGTTTGGCCATAGGGAAGAACAGACAAAGTAGCAGGCTAGGCCAATAACTTACTATTTATTTTAAATTCAACTTTTATGCTCCTTAGGGAACTCCAGACCTTCCACTTTCTATCTAATTATTACAATAAATCTGTAGAATCCCTGAACATAATTTTACCATTACATACTTGGGAACACAAATTCCTGCAAACCTCTCCCACATCTTAGATTTGAACTATGTCCCCTTTCTTTGTACGCTCAGAAAAGACTTTGAATCTTGGAGAAAAACCACACTCGTCTGGTTCAGTAGATGCAATGTTCTAAAAATTGTCTTTCTCAATCATATTTACTTTTCTTTGGGCCACGCATTCTGTTAATTTTGATGATGTCTTGTTCTTCTAATTCATCACCACTGCAATATTCTTATTATTTGATTGTCAAAAAGATGTAAATTCTTTGTACTTTTATTCCTGTTATAATACATATATAAATATATTGAAAAAATTATAAAATTTTGTGCAGAATTCATGAAATTTATTTGGCAGGGTGAGTCACCTTGTATCACCAAATACTATCTTCCCCCAAGGTGGCATTGGCTTTTCTGATCTATTTCTGTCCCATACCTCTACCCACCTTACCTGTATAATAGACCGGTGTTGCGTTCGGGATACCAAGCTTTGGCTCACCATTGAACAAGACTTTTCACCATTTTCCTTGTCAGGTGCAGTCTGAGATGTCACAATCTTATTTACTCCAATTTCCTTAAGGCAACCAAAGCCTGTATCTTATGCACATGGAAACAAACCTCCCCTCCTACACATGCTCACTGGTTCACGAGGGTGAGTGATATCATGCATATAGAAGACTTAACCACAGCACTTAGACAAAAAAGACTTCTTTAAGCAAGCACGGTTCTACTGATACATTTCACATTCTTTGCTGAATACACCTTACCCCTCCCAAACAACACTCCATAATTAATACATTTACCATGGTCTCATTTAGCTGACAATGAGATAGCTGGAATCAACATCTGTTGGTCAACTCCTTTCCTATTCCTCATAAGGATCAGAGCTGGTCTGTCCATCCTCCTCACCCCTTTCCCCCACCCGTATTCAAAATATATAGGATGAATGGTATGAGAAAGGATTGAGTCATTGAGATGTCAGGAAGCAAACTAAAAGCCTTTAAAATCAAAAGAGGAGTCTAAAGCAACACCTGAGAGATCAGAATTGAAAAGCAAAGTATTAATATGATGTACTTACTGTACATGCTTGCCTAACATATAACTTGAAATAATTTATTTTTCAGATTTAATTTTTTAATCCTGTGTTTAATAAATATAGAAATGATTTAGAAAACTACATTCCTTTTAATTTCTAGAACTAAAAGCATTCTAAATTTCCAATTCAGTGATGAGACAATGTATTAGAACTTTGCTTTGTTCCTTTTTAAAAAAAAATTGTTTTACGTACTGTATATACATACCCCAGATCTGATTTCTGCTAAAGTGAGTGTCTGTTCCATACACTTAAGAAAAATACATGATTACCAATGTATGAAATACATGAGTATTTTTCCTGACCTCTAGCCCAGCAGCAAGAGGCACAGAGAGATAACATTAAAATGTAGTATTAGTCTTAGTATGCACATCATCATAGGTGCCATGTAAGTGTTTTAGTCTTCCTACAAGGTACATTTCTGGCACAATTGCTGTTGAGGCTAAACTTTTTTATATAGGTGCTGTAATTTTTCTAACAGAGATCTGGTTGTACCATATGTATGACAGAATTAATAGGGGGTGGAGAGAGATTATGCATTCCAGCTGTGACCCCCAGCTTTGGGAAATGAATACGGTGAAAAGGGAATTTTTCTTAGGAACAGCACTGGCCATCTACAGCCTCCATATGACATCAGTGTCTCTGGAATGTTTGAATGTGTTCAGTTTGGGCAACGCTTGAACCTGTTAGTTCAATTAATGTGTGCTAATCTGAGTCTGTTTTCTTGTAGTGTTTGCAAAAGAGGAGTATTTAACTGCACCAGTTACCCATGTCCTTCTGTCTGTACTGTGTATGGCGATCGTCACTATTACACTTTTGATGGTTTGGAATATGACTATGTCAGTGACTGTCAGACTTATTTACTAAAGGTAAGACCAAAATTAGTTATTCTGTCTTTTTAAAAACATGTTTTTTTTACTAATGTATTCCGCCATTCAATAATTGTTCAGTTCATACAGTTTTATTAGCTGAAATCTGTCTTTATGCTAAATTGCCTCACTCCAGCTCATAGCTGAAATCAGAATTGCAAAGTGTAAATAGACCACAAGAACAGGTATTACTTTACAATTCACTATACCTAATATTTGCTTGAACTGTGTATTTCGTTTTTTGATGGAACCGTTTACTCTGAAACCACATTGCTGGAGTTTTAGAAGCAGCTGACCATTATTGATTTGGGGTACGTCTCTTCTTTTCCTTAGTGGTGAGGTGACCATTTCAGACAATACGATAATACAGGGTGGGCCACGGAAACGTAGCCCGTCTCAGGCGATAGTATGACAAGATGAACGAGCAAGTGGATTCTTTTTATTCACTTACCCACAAGTTACAACAGATGCTGAAAGTGGTCCCCTTTCACGTCTATGTACCTTTGGTCACGTCGGAGCATGTTGGCTGATATTGATTTCAGCTTTTCAACAGTGGAGCTGCGGATAGTGTTTGTGATGTTTTCCTTGAGTTCATCCAGGGTATGTAGATTGTTGGCGTACACTTTCTGCTTTAAATTTCCACACAGATAAAAAGCGCATGTGGACAAGTCCGGGAAACGTGGTGGCCATAACCCCTTACTCACAGTTTGCTCCTCCATAAACAGTTCATGAACCTGTGCCAGTGAGTCGCGTGAGGTATGGCATGTTGCCCCATGAGCATGGCACTGGTATTGGAAGCGGGCTACTTTTCCATGGCCCACCCTGTATCATTGGCACCTCATTCTAATTGAGGGTGAAATAAGCACAGTCAGATTACTATTTTTGTCAATAATTCAAATTGGCCTTTTTTTTTACAATTATTCAGGAAATATTTGCTGTATGATAGCCTGAAAACAAGCATGGCTATTGGCTTTTTATGGCCTAAAAATAGCTAATACGAATTTGATGGAATTACCCTGGTCAAAACGATGATCCTTAAGCATTATAAGGGTACTAAATACAAGGATAAGGGAGCATATCCTGGTATAGATATGATTAGGGATGATCAAATTTGCATTTAAAAGAATAATAAATAAAAAAAGAACATTATTTCTCCCTACACAGAATTGTCATCAAATTATTAAAACTTGTCACTCAACTTATCAGGGTCAAAGGTTTTGCACTGCATTATAGGTTGTTCCTTATATCTGTTGGGGAAAGTTTTTGACCAAACATACATGATTTGCAACTCTTGGGGATTCTCTGTGAACTCATAATAGCTGCAAAACCAAACTTCATTCTTAGCTCTGATCTTTATTAATAGGGCCTGCCAACGTACTTTTGTTCACTTAAGAACTTCTTTTTTTCCAATACAAGTCTATGGGAATGCAAAAGCAGCTGAAGTAGGTCAAATACAGTTCAACTGCACCTGCAGTGAATTCTAAATGATCTCAGAAGCATCTCAAACTAATTATAAAGGCATGCTGCATTTGTCCCATCAATACAGGCCTTACTCTCAGCCATACTCGCCTTCAAACCTTGCAAAGCCAGTAGCAGCCAATAGGTGTATGTTAATTTGAATGGATATGTGAATTATGTCTTCATACTGAATAAGAGTACATCAAACCTCATTCCCAATGTAAAGTCAGGTGCTTATATTCAGACATGGAACTTTAAGATAGCGTATAATACCCTTATACTGAAGACAAAGCAGAGGGAGTGCTAAAAGCAATGTTAATGTAATGCCTTTATTTACTGTTGCCATCAGTGTAACCTTATCCTACAGGATCCGCAAAACTGCATTTTTTAGTAGGATGCCACAAGGGTTAAAATTAATTATACAAAATAGTTCAGGTAACCATGATTTGTTAAAGGATCCCAGGGACTGAAACCATTCAGTTTAGCAATTGAATAAATTGACTTGAAGTAAAAGCTAGAGATGTGTTATCTCTTTGCTCTTCACCTGAATAAAAGTATATTACAATCATCATCATTACATATTCAGAGGACAGATTTAGATTCTATTAGTTATATCATTTAAACACCCTTTACAGGGATCTGGTTACTAGGTAGGTTCTAAGAATCTGAAATGGGACTGCTTGTTGTTTAGATATTGAGTGTGTGAGGTGTGTTTCCTAGCTAGCACGTAGAATAAATATAAAATATTAAATAAATGTGATTTGGGGATAACAAGAGTAGGGCAAAAGTGTAATCTATATAACTATAGATTAATATTGTTATAAATTCATATAGCACCAACATATCCTGCACCACTGTACAAAGCAAGAGCATGGAAAGCTTTGAAATATTAAACATACATGTGTGCATAATGCAGTAGACTTAAGACTGACCAAATTAAGTATATAGTTTAAATCAGGGGTCTAAAACTCAGTTCACTCGGGGGCCACTCGACAAATGTTTTCTCTCCTATGGGGGCCGCTTGCCAAAATAAAATTGAACTATAAAAATCATAAAATCATACTTCAAAATAAAATTGAACTATATCTGGTATGGTACTATGGACACTAATATACTCACAATAAGGCCCCATTCATATCTGTAAGTTTAAGTGCGATTAGGGATTTCTGCATCAGGGACCTGCGTTTTCCTGCAGCAGAAATACCTAATCTGGCGTTTACAAGCTGCAACTGTCACCCTTTCAAGTTAATGATCAGGTAACAGCTGCTGCATGTAAATGCCTGCATACCACATGTAATGGTATGTGATGTGACTATAAGCGGTTAGAAAACATCAATTGTGCATCCAGGGATAGTGATTGATTCCTATCCACAAGTAATCATATCACAAATCATTACATGTGATGTGCAGGTATTTACATTGTATTCTGAGAGGTGTCATCTGCTGCTGTCAGAATACCTAAACAGTAACTGCTGCTTATTGGCTGCAGTCACTATTCATCCGACAATTTTCCATTTGGCTCCATCAACAAAAATTGACTGAAAAATCAACTTTTGTCAAGCTGGATGGCGCAAGCAAGGCCGTACAAAACTTGCCCGTTTCAGCAGGAAATGGTCAAAATTTGATCTGTGTATGGCCAGCTCTTTTCATTACTATGTCTTTCTGTCATGACAACCGTTCTTTTGATTTCTTATCATGTTGTCATGTTGTAAAAGAGACAGGAAATCAGCTGAAATCTCCAACAGGGTCAAGGACAATTGGACATAATAGTTAACAAAAAAATATAAAAGTTAGAGTTGGGCTTCCATTCCCAGGACATCACCAGAATAGGTATCCCCACTGGGAGACTTCCCCTGCTTTCCTTTTCTGATGACAACTGTAAAATGTTAGATTTCCTAATTCAATTTTCATTCTGGTCACACTGGTCACAAGGACATATAAGAAAGTTTTTGTTAAATCTAATTAATTAAATATAGTTAATTAAATTTAGTTAATTAAAATATGATGACTGTAAATGCTGGGTAGATCTACCAGGTCAGATTACTTTAGGTTCCTTTCTAAAAGCAGCACTGTTTTGCCTTCAGAATAACCATGACGCCATTTTCAAATTCAAACAATGCACAAAAATGCAGGATTAATCTTGGCTTTTTATTAGCTTGCACCTCTGCCAACATGCAGCCCTGCTACAAGTAATTGAAATGTCAGAGCTTCTCAATCATTGCTGCTTAATAAAAAAATAATGCTCAGATCAAATAGCTCAAACAATGCAATGGAATAAAGGAGCCATTTTTCCCACCGTGCGCAATCAGACTTTCATTTTCTTAAGGTAAAAAGTCATGCGTGGAAACATAAGTGATTAAGGAAAGAAAGACATAAAGCATTAACAATTCAGTAGTGAATTTGCTGCTGAAATTGTAAACTGTGATGAGTGAGCAGAGCCTTTCAGAACATTTTCAATTTTAATGATAGACATTCTATATGCAGCAGCTAAAACCTTAGCTATATACAGTATCTGAAAATAACAGGATTAGTGATAATCCAGTAATAGTGAAAAGGCGCATTGAATGGATGTTCTTGTTTTATACAGACAAAAAAAACGCTTGTATCAGTACATAGTTTCTAGGCTTCTTCTGATGGTAAACAGTTTAAAAGTAAATGTAATTGTATTGGATGAAGAGGGGAACTTTACAAGATGAGTTATGTTTCAGTTAAAATAGCTACAATTGACATATGGTGAGAGATGAATTAGTAATAAAATAGTGTTAATTATGACTTGTAAGGTGTCTCTTAGGGAAGAGTAAATACTTTACTTGATGTTTGTAACATAAAAAAGCAGTTAAACTGTGCCTTTCAGTAACTTAAAAGAGGAAGTAAAGCAGTTTAGAAAAAAAGGGGGTCCCCTGGAGCATTTAGCCATAATGTGCTGGTATGCACAGCACAGGCTTACATGCCACAGCGATCCCCTCCTCCCTTACTGGTCCTTCCATTTTCGCAATCATGTTCTATAGGTTTTGGAGTGTTCAGCCACTTGAGTGGCCAGGCCTCAATGATGTAACTTCTGCACAAGCGCACGGGAGTTAGTTCATCTTGGCAAGGCAGAAAAGACTTGCACCATCTCTGTACAACTGCATAGGCTCCAGGGTTTACATGATTGGAGTCAGTAACTCAGTCAAAGAAATAGATATGCTACCCTGCATTATGCCTTACCAAAATGCTCCTTCTGGACAGAAAAAGCAGATGAAAGCCTAGTCAAGATGAGTACTTTGACTCTAAGAGGTGATAAATTCTTAGAAGTGGCACACTTGCATATTCCATATCATGCATGTACTTAAAGGAGAACTATGGGGAGAGTGCACTCATCCCCATAGTTAGACCCGATGTGGCGAACAGCAGGTTTCACATGTTGGCTCTATAGATCAAGAACCGAACGATCACAAACCGCCGATCATTTCAAGATCTTCTCCCTCCCTATAGAGAGTGGTGACTGTCGGTCACCGCAGCTTGCAGAGATTCCCCTCCCTCCCCTTTCTCTTCCTCCAGTG